GAAGATCGGACAGATTTCGCCAAGGCAAGCTGGGCAGTCGCCTATTGCTCCTATTCCAGATAACCCACTGTACCCTGTCTGAAAGGAAGTAACGCTAGAGTAGACTCGCGAAAAGTGTATAAGACACTTTTAAGATTAACTAAATAGCTAAGCCCAAGGGAAGTCGTTCGGGGAGGCCCTCCCTAATTCCACAAGGGTGAGAAGAAACAAACACGATAACGAAACGTTGAATCATGTAGAATTCGTAGGGTAAATGCGAAGCAAATTAGGAAGAATATGCAGTAAGCTAAGCGAAGAGGTAAGCAATGTTAGACTATACTACAATTACTAAACGAGTTAGTGCAACTATTACACTACTACTACATACAAAAATAACATCTACAATCAACAATTTTTCAAACAAAATGAACAAAAATAAGCATGCAAAATAAAAACTAATTCAAATTAACTACAAAAAACATGCAAAATTAAAAATTAATTTGAATAAAATGAATTTAATGAATTCTACTAGATAGAGCATGCAAGATAAAGAACTATTTCAACTATGGGATCATCTTGTCTTCTCCAACGTCGATCTGAAACAGATACGGTGGTAACAGATTAATAACGAGCAATTAATATTAATTGTTATGTATTCTCACCTTAATTAAAAGTTCAATGTGCTTTTCCTACAGTCAAAGATGAACTGTTTATTCATCTAAAGCGAAGAAATCTCAAGCGAGTGAAATGCAGCAATTCTATTGTAGAAAACTTGTTGTTCCAGTGAGATCCAAAGAAACTTCAATGTGCTCTCCTTGTAGGCATAAAATGGTCCAAAGTGATGAAATCAACAGCAAGAGAAATCCAGGTATTCTATTGTGGACAATTTGTTGTTCCATGATGTTCCAAACTTACTTCAATGCTCTCTTGTTTGTCCATCAACCTGTAGGAAACAGTAAGAAAAACGAATTAACTACATAATTATCAAATAAACAAGACATCAAATGAAATAAAAAGCAAACCAAAGGGAAATCAATTAGAGAAATATTAAATGGCGATTTGGAGTGGCTGGGCGTGCCTCTCATCATAGAAATTTTGTGACAGATGAAATAAATGACACTTGCTGCAATATATCACAGACCTTCCCCTCACAGACTTTCGACATAGATATTTAGTAACTATGGTAAAGAAAAAACAGCTAATTATTAAATGGCGACAACTGTCAGTTTTACAACCATAGACTTTTAATGACATAAATGTGAAATAATCATAGAAGCGCGTCCGTAGATAATAGTGAGAAGCAAACTTATAGATACACGACGTCGATTTATACAGTGGGCAATAGATAACTGTTAAAGAAAAACCATACATGTCGGAGACGACAAATTAAGTAGCATTAAAAAACAAAATAATAAGCAGCAAAACAATTGCTTACCTAGAGGATTACTGTACGATGCTCGAATTTTATTCCTAAGCTTTTACAACAGAGGAGTGCCTCGAACAATAGATGCTTATGAAAGGAAAAATGCCACTGATTATCAAATATGGTCACACAGCAGGAAGGCACAATTTCACACTGCAACTATATATACATCAGTGTAAATCACATCCAAGGGGCTTCACTTCTCCAGATTTCGAAATCTTTTTAATTTTTATCTTCTGGTTCATTTAATACGTTTCAATGATATCCTGTTGAAACAATTTAATGTTAGTTTTATTTTAAATATTAAGAGCTGTAAATTTCATCAACCAAATAGTAAATTATCAAATTCGATAAATAACTATTACAATTCAGAAGAGTAAAAGGTTATAGTAGTAATTATTGTTAAACAAATGGAATACACAAATTTTGCAAAATCACAAACTTCAATAACAAAAGATTTCCTACCCTTTTGACAAATGATCCTTCTCCAAGTCCAAGAGGAAGAAGTATTAGTAGGGCTCTGTTTCCAGTCCTTTCGATTTACTCTCTCCATGTTCATTTATTATTTTCAGTGGACAACTCTTAAAACAATGTAATATTAGTTAGTTTGTTATTATTTTATTATTAATGATAATCACCATTGTCAATATCCTATGTCCTGCGAATTTTTGACCAGCTCATTAGAAGCATTGTTGTCTGATTTCCACAATCACTACATCTGTAAGTAGTTTGTCTGACAAATCCAAGGATGTCATCTCAAAGCAAGCCTATATTATGTAAAAAAAAGACAAGTCGTTAAAACCCAATCAATAAAATCACAAGGCAAAAATAAAAATCGTTTTAACAGAAATTTTGGGCTTTAAAGACAACCTAATACTTTTGAGAAATATTTTACGTATTTTTACTACAAAACGAAGACAATTATTCGGGGCCTGGTCACATCAATTTGAAAAATCTACAATCATCATCTAAACCTGTTATCAAAATTTAAAAATGCTAACAAAACCCTAATTAGTCAATCTCAAATAAGCTAACAATCTAAAAAAATATACAACAGATGTGTAGACAGGCAAGATGCCCCACGTTAGAGCATGAAACCCACACGCCGTTGTTATCATGTAGGTAGGAACGCTAAAAAACTAAGATACGGTAATTGCAACCAACCAATTAATTAATTAATAGAAACGTATTCCATACAATCAAATTAAAATTGAATAAGGATTAGGGCTAAATACCTTCAGGCGTCGTTTCCATTTCTAGACAGAAAAGATGGCACCTTCTCGTCGTATGGAAGAATGCAAGTGCAAGATGTGAGAAGATAGAAGATATAACGGATGTGACCGTAGAAATGGGACGAGCCGAAAGACCCATAGATGAAAATTCTTTCTATGCCAATGATACATAGATAATAATAGATTTTATAGATGCGTTCAGTTTCACCAACTCAGTTTAAATTGTAAATAAGAACTGATCCACCTTAAAAAAAAGAACACGTCAATAAAACTGGCATATTATAACTATTTATATCAATTTCTAAGAATTAATACAACATCGTCAAGTAAATTAGTTAAAAAGAGAATTTATGTGGATACTAATGCTTGACTAAAATATATATTCAAGATATAAAAATTAGAAATGTTCAAAAAGGGAATCAAATTGAACGTTGTCCTGTAGAATAATACATATATATTAACTACCTTCAATTAATGTTGTTACTCACCACTTTGTTGTCAAACATCCTTTCTTTATCAATAACAGACTGCTTTTGACTCCAGTNATAAAAGGCAAATTAAAAAAAAATATAAAAGCATAATAGTTTAGTTTCTGCTTTATTTGACGATTAACAAAATTAGATTTGGATAATTTAAAAAAATATTTGCCGACAGAACATATCAGAACATTTAAATATTTTTTAAACAGATAAAAATTTTTATTTTTAAACGAAAACGTCGATAAAAATAACTATTAAATTTAAATAAATCACATTTGCTAAATTTGTTTAATTATTTTCTTCATTTAAGTGTATTAATAATGAGCAAAATTCTTAAACGAAAGTGTAAGACTAATATCAAGACTGTCAATATTAGCAAGATCGAGACCAAGACACAATGAACAAGACCAAGACTAAAACAAAGAACAAATATGCAAGATCAAGACCGAATACGCATGACTAAACGAAAAATTATTACTTCCGGTGGATTTATAAGTTAAACTATTTGAAGCAACTTTAATGTATTCCTTACATCCAACAAAACACATCCAATACTTGAAAATTTCAGTTTGCTTTACTACATTTTAACATTGTATATGTGAAAAGGAAACTTTATCACTGCTTGAAAAAAGGTATCGACAAAAACACCCTCGGAGTAAGTGTTCTTTATTCCTATGTCTGGATAACACATAGTTGAAATATAGAGACAAACTAACTTTTTTTCGATATTTTTCCCTTGTTTCAAATACCTTGCACTATTATGTTTGCTAAAGGTCAAGGTCAGGTCAAACGAAGACTGAATAAGCAAGACTAAGACAGTTTCGGTCTTGGTCTTGCTTTTCCCGTCACTAAAGTACATTTTGCAGCAGTGAAAAGTTCAGCATTTATATATCTGTTTCGTCCATTTTCTTTTTTATTTATTTAGAACATTTAATAAACTAATTAATCATTACTGAAACGTAATGGAGGAAAGTTTTCTTACGGTAATGGAAATTAAAATGAATCGCAAAATGTAAATGCAACGCAAATTTTCAAATTGAAAATTTGTATTTCGAGCGAGTTCTATCTGCCGAGTCGGGCTGGCACAAAAGGTAGCGAAACGGCTGAATGGAGTGTAATTATAATAGGTAATTAATAAATCGCCGTCGTCATTAAGAGAAAGAGCACTTAATTAACTTTCTAATCGGATCGGGCGCTTTTCAGGAGAACGACGAGAATTAGGATGGGCAAAGGGGGCAGAAACGGGGAGGGGAGGAGGGACCCGTGAGCGAAAACACATCAAGGCGAAAGCTCAACTTTTTTAAAAGCTTATTATCGAACTGACGCGTCGCGACGCTGCCGCCGAGAGGGCTTTTATTTTTTCCGTGTTCTTAGCACTTTTTAAAACTATAATACTTTCTTCTTAACTGGAAAACGCTCTGGGATTTTAGCATTTGTTTCCTGGCCGCTCGCTAGTCATCCATTCTCATACATTTTTTTTCTTCGTTGAAAATATTGGCAGAGTAATAAGAAAAAATATGTACAACGTGAGGTTCAAGCACAATAGAAAATTCTGCTGTTTTTTTCATCTTTAAATAACACTTTATCATCATCATAAGGTCGTCAGTCCTAAGAATGGTTGGACATGTACCTCCACTCTTTCCTATCCTGAGCTAATCTTCGCATTTCCCTAAAACTAGAACAGCTCACATACTTAACTATTTGCGAACAGTAATCTAATCTAGGTCTACCTCTACCCCTCCTAACTCCTGTTTCTGCCTCTAATATGTCTCTGACTAGACCTTCATGCCTGAGAAGGTGTCCTGCCAACCTATCTCGCCTATTTTTTATTGACTTCCATAGAGTCCTCTGTTCTCCTATTCTTTCCAATACCTCTTCATTTCTAACCTTTTCTAGCCACGATATCCTCATCATCCGCCTATAACACCACATTTCGAACGCTTCTAACCTTTTCTTTTCCGCCGCGCCCACTGTCCATGTTTCGCACCCGTACATCGCCGCCCTCAAAACATACACCTCAAGTGACTTAATATTTACGTAATTTAATATATGCCCGATAGTTTATTTCTGGAATAACAATTTCCTTTCTATGCTGAATTCCTAAAGGCCTAATGAATTATGTCGAGCAGAATGCACAGAAAATGTGCAAGTTAAAACAAATCGCTGCACGTAATATCGTGTAGGTGTTGGGGCATCAACTTACTGTTTTTGTTCAAGAGTAAAAGAGTTTTTGCTGTGGAAAATAAAGAAAACCCACCACCGCGCCGTTCGCTCCCACAAATCTCTTTTGAAGCAGGGTAAAGGTTAGGGAAGTTCTTCGATCGAACAGGAGAGCAACAAAAATATATATGTAGCCCTTAGAAGGCTGTGGGAATTAAAAATCTGCTGTTTTTCGTGTTAGAATGAGACAGTAAGCTGTCGGGTCGGCCAGCGAGAGAGACGGCACGAGCGAAGCTTCTTAAAGAATTTAAAATTCCTTACTCGAAATCCTTCGAATGTAGCACTTACGTTAGCTGGAGTCGGATCTATGAAATGGCATTTTAAGTTGGATTAGGTTCAAATTTAAAACACTGCCAATAATACGCAGTCAAAAGGAATGAACACCAATGCAATTTAACGCTACTTTGCTTTATTTTTTCCAACTTTCTTATTCTTTTACGCCATCGACACTCCGGAAAATTTAAAACTGACGATAGTTCCCCTTTCGGGATTAAATATTAGACGGAAACCTCTCTGTTCTCTAAACCCTACAGGTCCCACATAGTAGATGCATTACATTTTTTACTTTAAAAACAAATTATTTCGAAACATTTTTCGAACTACTTACTAGCTGATTAAATCATTCTTAAAAGTTTAATAAATTATAAATACAATTTTCAAAAAAAAAAAACAGAAACTGGCTTCAAATCTTTACCCAGTGGCGTATCGTGAATTTTTACCGTCCGGGGTATAGCCTAAATTTTTCGCCCTTCCTATTTTCACAATTAAGATCTTTTATTTAAATTGATAGGAGATGTGAAATGGGGTTGTTACATTTGTATATTAAATGTAAGATAGCGACATAATATGTTATTTCAAAAGATGTTTTAGATATTTAAATTGGTAGGGATTGTAATTGTTTGTTAATGCGAAGTTTAATCAGGATAGGAAAGAGTGGAGGTACGTGTCCAACCAGTCTTAAGACTGATGACCTTATGATGATATGATGATGAATTACCCACTAAGTAGCAAACATTATAGTAGTAGGTACCAAGAAACAAGAAATTGTTATACACATTTATTTTAAAATGTTGAATGTTCTTGTAACTAAAATTTTAAGGTTTGCTACGCAGAATATGGCACTCATATAGATCTCAATCTTTTATACACAATATTGAACTTGGCTCTCATTTTCCATTTATGTTTTCGATGGGATATCATTACTTTTTGTACAGAAATTATTAGCATTCATTTTTAAACGTTAACATATCAATAACTGTTTCAGCTACATTAATGAAATTTTGTATTCTAGACAAGCTAAGGGCTTTAATAAATGTCCAAACTTCATTTATGTACGTTAAATATAGGTTTCGACCTGATTTCCCAAATCTGTTCAAAGTAGTGTCACTTTTGTTGTCCGTTCCGGCCACTTCAGCATTTAGAGAAAGAGTATTCTCTGTTATAAACGCAAAGTGGCGAGACGACAGGAATAAAGCTTCATTAAATCTAATTAAAAATGAACTTTTAGTTTACTTAAATCTTTGTTTGCCATGTTTAGAGACTGTTAATGTATTTAAGAGCGACAGCGAATTGTTACTGGCTGCTAGGTGTAACAAAAAATATGTTTTTAAAAACAAAAAATAAAATACTTTATTTTTATGCTGAGTACTTTTTTTTTAACCTTTTAGTCGAGAAATACTTTATGTAAAGCCTGAAAAGGGGGCAACCCTAAAAGTAGCTCGAAATGGTTCGTGTAAATTACACGCGGCTGCTACGTCACCATTTGAACTTGACTGTACACGCAGCGGGGTGTCTATTTTTCCAAAGGAATACAAGTTGCTCTTCAAAGTGATTATTTTACTTATAAGATTCTTGACTGACACTCATCCACCTAAGCGTAGGATGTTGTACGTATATTTCTTTCCGTTCTATTTCCGTTCGAAGGCCTTGCGTCAAACAGACAAGAAAATTGGTTAAAGGACACGATTTCTCGTAAAACCACGGACAGGCATTCTCAGTTCAAGCGTATAAGCGATCGCTAATTTGCAGACGAAAATAAAGGGACAAAGACGCGTCCCGAATCCGTTGCTCCGGTTAATAAGGGGACGCGGACGTCCCGACGCGATCTACGGTCCGTCGGTAAAGAAGAACCTTCCCAAAGTCGCTGCCGGTGTGCTGGTTAGAAGTGTCGTGAGTGGATCCTCCAGCCGGAACGATTCAATTTCCCGGTCTCTTGGCCGCAGCAGATACGTCGCGACGACGACGACGACGTCGGTGGCGTCTGCGAGCGCATCATTAGACGCTCCATTACGTTCTAGAAACAAATTACGCCAAATGTCTTGCGTGAAAAATAGCCGCATGATAATATCTCTCAGATCGAATCCAGCTTAAACGGGGAGAATCTGCTTTATCTGGCGTTTAATTGCTTTTTAGTTAGCCACCATCACGCCGCCAACGCATCGACGAGCTTTTCCTTTTTCGTACAACGCAAAATAAAACAAACGCGCTTTAATAAAAAGGTCAAGGTTATGGTATTCGATAGCAACAAAAAATAATCGTTTTAAGG